AATATGTATAAATATATTTTTAAAAAATTTTAATCCTTAAATAATTATTTCAATAAGGAGGGTCCTGAAGCTGTAAGGAATCTAATAAAGTGCAATTCATGGCCCATCACGTGGGTTCACAGCATTAACTCCCAACGAGTAGACTTATGCCTGAAGGCAATTCTGCTGCTTCCACTGAATTTCAATATCCACCAACCTTAAACCTGTAAAACTTTCGGATGGCCTAACAAATAATTAACCCCGTGAACAGATTTTTCAAATTCTTTCACTGATTTTTGCATCTGGTCTACATCAACCAAAAAGCAGTAATTGTTCATGAGGAGTAACTATTTAATGAATATGGAATTTCAGTTTGGGGAGATAAGAAAATTCTGAAAATGGATAGTGGCGATGGTTGCCAAACAATGTGAATATACTTCGTATCACTGAATTGTACACTTAAAAATGCTTAAAATCTTAAACTTTTACACTATGTATATATTACCTCAATTTTTAAAAGTGACTGTTCAAGAAATACTTTAAGAAAAGAATGAAGTGAACTTCTGCCCACTCTCAACGACTCCTAGAGTAACCCAGAAACAGGATTCACTGTTAATATCAGTGGTAGATACAGAAGTATCTATTAATTTACTTATTTCTGACACTATTTTTAAATTTAATTTGATTTTTTAAAATATATTTTGTTGATTTTTTCACTGAGAGGAAGGGAGCAGAATAGAGAGTTAGAAACATTAATGAGAGAGAAACCAAACAGCTGCCTCCTGCACACCTCCCACTGGGGATGTGCCCGCAACCAAGGTACATGCCCTTGACTAGAATCGAATCTGGGACCTTTCAGTCTGCAGGCCAACGCTCTATCCACTGAGCCAAACTGGTCAGGGTGAGACTGAGTTTTTAAGATGCAACAGAAACACTGATCGGTAGCTTGCCAAGAATGAGATGTGTCTGACCTAAGTTATGATTTCATCAGACCAATATCATCTATCACCAATGTGTCTTTGGAAGTAAAAAATAATTTTCAAGGGATGTTAGTTTAACTAAATATGCAAACTGAGCTAATATTACAAATTCTGAGCCACACAATAAAAAACTACTTTTTCTTTTAAAAAGAACCTTCACAGAAAACTACGATTCTTGAAAATAACAAAAATACATATATTTGCTCTTCCATATTACAGCTTTTGAAAAGCTACTTGCAGGCCAAATGAAAATCTGCCTACATATGCAAACATCAGAATAACCTATTAATATTAACCTGACCTTGGCTAAAGGCAGGTCTCATGTATGCTTTGAAAAAAATATTAGAATTACAATATTCATGAGACTATATCCTCAATATAAACTACCTTTCATTTTCTACTCATATATTTTCAGACAAGTCAAAGACTCACTCTCTCCATTCAGCCCCAACAGATTTCATGACGAGCTGTCTAATAAAGCTCTGATAACTAAGACACCTAAGGTTGCTAAAGCAACTACAATTTACAAGAACACCTGAAGAGGCCTAAATGGTATAATCTTTCTCATTACCCTGTTCATTTCCTCCATAGCAAAAAAGTGCTATAGGTAACTAACTTATTTGTCTGCTTACAACATAAAATAAATGTCTAGAATGTCATGCCTAGGGGGAAGGGGTTATAGCTCTCTTGTAGTTTCCAGGCACTCAATATTTGTTGAATCAATAAACATAAAATTGAATATGCATAATTCATTCATTTTTAGAACTTAAAGACGATATGTACATTGTGCCTATTATAGACACACTAGTATTAATATAGAAACAAACCAAAAAAATTAATATAACCAAAGATCAATAAAAAGCTATCATTCATACTATATAGTTGGATTATGGTATTGGTATTGAAGATGGTTAAAAGTAGACATAGGGCCCTGATCAGGTTGGTTGGAATGCTGTCCTGGGCACCAAAAAATTGTGGGTTCAATTCCCAGTCAGTGCACATTATCTTGAATGCGTGGGTTCGATTGCCAGGTGGAATGCGGGAGGCAAGAGATTGATGTTTCCCTGTCTCCCTTCCTCTCTAAATTAATAGGGTGAGAATTTTTTAAAAAGCAGACACAAAAAATATTCAAATAGGTTTGCATTCAAACGCAGAAAAGTGGATTATGTTGGTTTCTGCAATGAACCACATTATGTCTTCTAGATTTATTTCCTATGTGGCCATCTTTACAATTTTTAAAATGGTTTCATGGTTCAAAAAACGTGAACCTCATTTTCAATTAAAATCAAAGTTTGGTATTATAGAAAAAAGGATATCGTGTGTGAAGTTTTCAAGTATCTCAAACCCAATTCACTAAGTTAGCAATGAGTCCAGTCCAGGAACTTCTTTCTCCACACATTCAATATATAATTTTCATGGGGAAATAAGAACCCTCCAAACAGCTCAAAATCTCATATATATAAGTTCCTCATTCTGTGGATATTCCAATAAATTCCTTGGGGGACCAAACTCCTGAATTCTGTAAGAAGAGCCTTTACTCACTTGCTGCCATGTTAGCTTCAGCCTTTCATACTGCTCCTTGCCATCTTCTGAGCAATCGGAACAAGTAAACCTAAAAAAATTATCACCCTTAAGGTAACTGAGCTGTTCCCTCAGCTGACCTAGGAGAAAAACAAAAAAGTGTATCATAGATTTATCTAAGAACAGGGGTAACTCAAAAGTTTAATTCTTTTAGCAACCAGATTTTAAGTTTCCCCTACTGTTTTTCCTTTATTTCAGCCAGTTCATGACAGAAGGAGGCAGGGAAAGGAATAGAGAAGATTTTTATTTTTCCAACATCAGTGTATGCCCATGAAGATTGTTGGTTCCCTAACTTTTAGAAGATACTGGAAAAAAGCAGTTATTATTGCTCACTGGATTTTCCAACTGTTAACATTCCAGACTCCTACAGGTCTCTTCACACATTCTTTCAAAAATACCCGAGCTCCCACTGAGTATCAGGCAATGGGCTAGGAACTGGGAATACTGTGCCCAAGGCAAGCATAGTATCTGCTCTCAGTTTACAAATTCTGTAGGGGAAACATGAGGAAATAGGTAATCACAACAGCACAGTGGTTCTCCATCCTCACTGTACATCAGAATGGTTTTGTTTTAATGTCTTGGCTTATCCCACATGCAATAAATTAATCTCTGAAGTGGAGCCTGGGTCCACATTTTTAAAGTGACACACGCTCTGGAAGACATGAAAACCACTGCAGTAGTAAAGGCAATATGACGGCACATAAAAGGGGTGCCCGACCCATATTGGGAAGATAGGAGAGCTAGAAAAAGTGGCTTCTACAGGATGACTAGAATTGGCCAGGGGAAGAGAGGAGCTTGTGTGTATATGGAGGGAGGGCATGGAGGCTAAAGATGAATATTCCAGAAAGAAAATTAAAATGTGCTGAGACTCAGGGATACGAAAGACTTGTTTGTAGAGAATTAAAAGCTCATCCTAACAGCAAAGGTCTGTTTATGTGTGAGGAGAACAGGATATTAGAGAGAGAGGCTAAAGAAGTTAGCAGGGGCATAATCATAAAGGGCAGGTTAAGATGTATACCGTCAGGACAGAGAAAGCCACTGAGATTCTCAGGCAGGATCCTGAATTAATAAGCAAAAAGAGACACCTCACAAACAAAAACTACCTATAATAAACTCCAGATTTGTTTTCTGTGAAAAGTTATGTGTTAGTAGTAACTATTAATCTCAATAGTTGAATATTCAATAAAAACATTTCCACATAACCAGAAAATAACCCACTTCACAATTACCTAGTTACAAATTCCATTACACAAAGAATTCCTCTAGTGCGTACGTCTTTACTAATCTCTGCCTAATAGGAAAATCCTGTGGTGGTAAGACTCATGATGACTGGCAAAGCATATCTTCCTTGAGAACTAGGAAGCTAGCACTTGAAAAGACTGAGTTGAAAAACTATATCAGGGGAGCATGTGTGTGTATAGATCTCTTGCCAGCAGATCACTGAGGTCAACAAGAGAAAAGAATGATCCTAGGAAAAAAAGAGCACAAAACACTTTAATCTGCTAATTCTGGCCTTACATCAGCCTACAGTAGAAGGAATTTTCCATGTGAGTTAAATACTAAGAGTAATTTTTATGAACTTGAACTTCTATTCTACACTGGGCCCCAAAGTCTTAACATAGCCTTTTAAGAAAAATCTGGCTAATTTCTTAAGTAACACAGGATATTCAATTTTCTAGTCTTTATTGGGTTACCATCAAGAACGTTATTTTAACAATGTGATAAATATCAACAGTAATTTTTATTAGTATAAATGTGTTTGTTTTATATAAATTTATAGTTAAATCAACTAAACTAAAAATAAATAGAATTATCCTTTTATTTAGGTCTATTTACATTCATGTTTTGTTTTTGTTTTTTTCACAGGTTAGGAAAACAAACACATAGAAACTGACAGATCAAAGGAATCGAGAAGCTCCTTACTGGCTGGTATCCATTTTTGGCATTTGTCACAGAAGTAGGACAGCTGTTCCTCCATCCAGGACACATCTCCTTCATCACTGTTGAGAGAATCCCCACTCTGATCGTGAGACAAGTCCACTGATGCCTGGTCCTCCGATTCAACAATCAGGAGAGTCTCGCCCTCCACTTCACCCTCCTCCAGTCCTTCTGAGGTAGAGGTTCTTGTGGCTTCATCATCATGGCGACTTATCAGACTACCTAAATGGATGTTACTATCCATCCCTTCTTTCTCAGAGGGTCAGAAGTGCTTTCGTAACAATCCTAAACTCTGATCAAGCTTAAAGAGGCTTTTATCAGGATTATACAAAAACTTCAGAAGAGGGTCTGCCCTATTCTCTAATTAGACATAACGAACTTTTAAAGTAATAATTTGGTATAATCCATTGCCTTTTTCCTTGATTGATTTTAAAAGGACAGTGAACAAAAAAAGGTTGAAAATCTTACTAAGCTATTCTCCATCAACACACTCACATGCACACACACATCAATATTTCACATTCATTTCAAGTCATGTTTTTTGAGATCCTTTGCCAGTAACATCTTCTCTCTTTCGGCTTCAAGTTGCTCAGTCAAAATAATCTGTTCTCCCAAAAGACGGATGTTTTCTTTTTTCCGATTTTGCCTCTCAATGTCTCTGATCACTCCGTCACGAAGCCTCTAAAAATGTAAGAAACAGATTTCAGTAGCACCCTGAACAGGTGGTTCCCATCCTTGTTACATTCAAAATCAAATAACAGTGTTACCAAAATACACTTAAAACTTCCAGACTCCAAATACCCAACTACTATCTATTTTAACTTTCTCTATAAATGTAAAATGTAATTTAAAAAACCCCATCAAATTAATCTGGGGTGCTGGGACCGGTTTGGCTCAGTGCATAGAGCGTTGGCCTGCGGACTGAAAGGTCCCAGGTTCGATTCCGGGCAATGGCATGTACCTTGGTTGCGGGCACATCCCCAGTAGGGGGTGTGCAAGAGGCAGCTGATCGATGATTCTCTCTCATTGATGTTTCTAACTCTCTATCCCTCTCTCTTCTTCTCTGTGAAAATTCAATAAAATATATTTAAAAAAAAAAATTAATCTGGGGTTATAACATTATCACTTAAATGACTATTGACCATATTTTAAGAAATTCCTGAACATTTATTATAGAAAATTTAATCACAATTTAAAAAAACTATCACTTTGTTGAATTTTAAAAGTTTAATTGATATATGACACTTAAATATTTGGTAAGAATTACTACAGTAACTCTGTGAAATACTTTCCTGTTAGCAATTTTCCTAGCTGAATAAATATCAAAGAGAAAAAAAAAAAGGATTGCTAAAATATGAACAAGCTACAAGGTAGATGAAAAAAACACACAAAAAACCCAGCTTCTAGTATACAAAGCAAAAAAGTAAAAATTACTAATCAATGTGTAACAGAGAGAGATGGGGAAAAAATAGAATGCCACTAACAGAGGAAAAATTAAAGGCCCATCAATGGTAGTTACTTTGATAAGCACTAAAGAACATGGCACCAAAGATGACTTTTTAAAGCATCAATCCAGTCATGACTAATAACATTTTATAGTCACAAGTTACAAAATGCTCTAATAATTTTCTAATAGCCTTGTCATGCAGAATTAATGGGGGTAGGGGAAGGGGTCTGAACTTGTTTTTTCTTTTTTAATTATTATGATGTCTATTTAAGACACTTTCACCAAGTATCTACTTGCTGGACCTCGAGGCCTAGAGCTGCATTCCCTATTAGGGGGAGTAGAGGATTCTAAGACCAATAACTCAACTGAAAACCAACTTTCTTGATCACTGAACCCTTGGCAAGAACTCCAGAGACAGAAATGGAAGTGCTCATTCCACTCCTCCCACCCCAATTCCTCCGATCCTGTGCTCCTTACACCACCCTACCCCCAAAGCTCACACCTTCCACACCTGACTGAGATCCTACCCTTTGCAGAGATCTTAGTACATACTTAGGATCTTGCTCTGCATCCATCATTTGCTATCTTCCTCCAAGTTTCAATGTGTATGCCGACTGCCTCCCACATCTTTCCTGTGAGGTCCACTCAACTACCTTACGAACCACCTCACTTACTAACCATTAAGGCTTGTCCACTATTTCAATTCTAACACCTAGAACTCTGGCTCCTCACCTAAGTACTACTTGTTTTGCAGGGTTCCCATGAGGGTTAAAGGTGATGTATATAAAATGCTTAATACAGTGCCTGGTATGTAGTAGAAAGTCAAGAAACAATAGTCATTATTTATTTCTTGCTTCCTTGAACCTCCTTGCATATCTACCAGTCAATCATTTGAACCTTCTTCTTACATATCTACCAGCTCTTTCCCACTGCTAGAGAGAAAGTAAGCCCACATGAATGATTAGATGTAAGATAAACCCAGGTTATTCTGGTCAATCTTTTCTTCATCTCTAACTTCCAAATATCTAACTTTACCTGTTCTTCCACTCTAGCAGGCAGCCAGGGTTTTTTTTTAGCCAGGGGTTTTTAACCCTGGCTGCCTGCTAGTATCCTCTGGGTCGCTTTTATTTTTTTAAAAAATATTTTTTTATTGATTTCAGAGAGACAGGGAGGAGGGCGAGAGAAATATCAATGAGAGTCATTCTTTGACTGCCTTTTGCAAGCCCATTACTGAGGATTGAGCCCAAACCCCTGCACGTGCCCTTAACCAGAAATGAACCCAGGAACCTTCAGTCCGTACGCTGACGCTCTATCCACTGAGCCAAACCGGCTAGGGCTGGGTAGCCTTTAAAACCTACTAATTGCTTTTAAAACATACATAAGCCCAGCTGATGTGGCTCAGTGGCTGAGTTTCAACCTATGAACCAGGAAGTCCGAGTTTCAATCCAGGTCAGCGCACTGGCTCCGGATTTCCCACTCCATCCACAGTGTGAGGTGTGCAGGAGGCAGCTGATCAATGGCATCACTGATGTTTCTCTCTCTTCCTTCCTCTCTGAAATCAATAAATAAAACATATCTAAGCAGAATCCTCATGCCCAAGAGATTCTGATTTAATAGGCCTGGAGTAGGGCCCAGCCTCAGCTGCATTGTAAAAACTTTCCAGGAACATTGGGGGGGTGTGGCTAGGTTTCAGAACTAAGCTCTAATAATCCAGCCCTACCAGACACTCTCTTGGTAATTCCCTGTTCATTGACCTCAGAGCTGTATCTGACACACACTACTCCATCTCAATTTTTCTTGGGATCACCATCTTTTTCCTTCTTAGGAGGAAGACTTCTGCCTCTATTACAAGAGCTACCCCTTTAGAACCCCAAATCTCTAGTCTCTTCAATGCCCTTTCATCATTAATCATCATCCCATTCCCTCCTCTCCACACAATTCTTGTGTCTTCACGGGCTTCCTCTCCTCTGATTTCCGTGGATTGTGATCACCGAGGACAAAGACCTCATCTGCTTCATATCTGAATACCCAGCACACAGCACAGTCCAATGCAAGCGATGACTTTACTACTGATTCAGGTCACTGCTTTCACCCTTGGCACACTAGGCTCTACCAATACCCGCGCCAAGGTGTCCTCTGAGAGTTCACCTATGATCCAGTTCCTGTTCTCACACTCAACATTCAGCGCTGTTTTCAATCCGTTAGTCTGTCTCCGGAGCGGTTCTGCTTCCTTATCTGTGTTTCCCAAAAAGTTCCTGGCACACAGTGACCCGTCATTAAGCGTTCACTAACTTGAATAAGAAAGTATGGGCAGAGAGACACAGAATGGACGGCCAGACCAATGATGAGGAAGTCAGGATATTTCTAGGAATATAAGTACAAAAAAAAAAAAAAAAAAAGGAAATTTGGAGGCTGGTATCGTTGACGTCCACAAAATCTAGTTTTCATGGAGATCAACCAAGAACTTGTGTGTGTGTGTGGATACAGACAATAGTGAGGTGAAGGCCGGGGGCGGGGAAGGGGGGAGGGACAGGCTAGAAGGGATCAGTAGGGAAGAGAAGAGACACGTGTATTGCTTTCACAATAAAGAAAACAACAACACACAACCACAAAACAACATACAAGCATCTCCCCAAATTCCGAAGGCGGATGCGGGAATGCTTCTTGATCGTGGGATAAAGTCTTACTAGCACTTGAACTCCGTAGGACCAACCTTGGGCCTGGGGGTGAGGAGAGGCCATCACCTGCTGAATGCACCCCAGGGAAACGCCTTCCCGCCTGCATTCTCTGGGGTCCCAGGGACAGTCTGGAAGGCCGTACCCCTGCAGGCTGGCTGCCACTAGAAAGCGGGGCCGCTCACCGCCCCACGGGCGTGCGTTCGCGGGAGCCCAACTTCAGCGGGAGGCCCGGGCCCCCGGCGCCGAGGCGGGACGGTGGCCCGCACGCGGCCAGGGGTGCTGCAGCCGGGCCGCGCCGCCGCGGGGGCGAGCACAGGACGGGAGGGAAGGAAAGAACAGGACCAGCGGGAAACCACGCGGAGAGAACAGAGGACCCCCTCCCCCCAGCCCCCCAAGGCCGCCGCCGGGCCCGGAAGAGACCGTCACGTGACACCAACCTGCCGGTCCTGCCGCTGGTTCAGATGCACGCCAGCCACGGTGGCCGCCGTCAGCACCACCGAGAGGCCCAGCACCAGCTTCGATCTCCTCGACATCCCCGCGCCGGGCGCCCCCTCCCACCACGCGAGGGCCTGGGTGCTGCCGAGCATGCGCCGCCGCCGGTGCGAGCCAGACCCGACCCCTAGAGCGCAGATCCCCAGCCCCTGCGATGCCGTCCCGATGCCAGGCGCGAGCAATCGAGAGCCGAGCGGCTCCGCGGCCATGCGGCTGCGGGTGGGACCTGGGGGAGGGAGGGATGCTCTCTCTACTCTGCAGGCGGCAGGGTTAGAGCACTCCCAATTCAAATTCTAAATTAGAGCCGCAGCACCTCGTCGGGGTGAGTTGGAGGGTTCCAGGCCTGCCCCTCCTCATTGTATCATCTCCTCGGCCACCTGTGGAGATGCTGGCCCAGGTGCTTTGCTCAATGGCAGCTTCACCAAACTCAGCCCTCATTGTCCCTTTGGCGGGGCAGGTACCACCAGGAGATGGAGGTTTGCTAGTTAAATGTAGACACGGTCACCTGCTCTCACCTTGACGCTGTGGGGCGGCTGGTCAGGGACTGGTTTTCTTAAAATCGTAGTCTTTTGCCTAAAGAGCCTGTTGACTGGGCAGCGACACCTCCTTGCCCCCTGATATGAAAAGAGCTGGTTAACTCCTTGTCCAGGGAATCCCTAGGAGATCACTTTGACACCCTTAGCCTCAGTTCCCCGCCATTTATAAAACAGGATTCCTGAGCCCACATCACTAGAAAGATAAATGATGGAATGAGGGAGTGCTTCGAGAATAGCTTAAGGTACTGTCCAAGATGTAGAAAGACGTTTGGCTTTCTAATGAAGTTTTGTCATTAAATTATTCTTTCTTACTAGAATTCACAGAGAACAGACTTTTCCTATGGAAACAACTTAGGGTGATATTAACTTGGGCTCGATCTTAACCTCACCCAAGGGCTCCTTTGACATTCATTTCTGTAGTGCTTTGCTATTCCAGCCCAAGTTATGCAAGTGTAAATGGCATGATTGAGACTGCTCTTAAGAAATGTAATACAATAAGACTAAATAATAAAAAAAGGTAAAAATACCCTTTCAAATGTCATTTTGTACACAACATATTTCTCAGCTGGAGGAATGTACCATTGAATTGGAAAACAGGAGTCTTGCCCTAATACACCTTGAAGTTGGAAGCAATTTGATTCAGGGTGTATTTGTATATTTCTGTAAAGAAAAAAACCTTTTAGACTATTTTTAATTGTCTACAATTAGACTACTTTTATATTGTCTTCTCCAGATATAATTTCCCTTTAAATCAATAAGCCTTCAACATGTCCTTAGATTGTAGCCTAAAGAGTTAGATGGTCTTTCATCCTATCATCACTAATTTTTCAACATCTTCTTAAAATATTTTGTTATTATACTTTTGAAAGGTCCTTTAAATGTGTGAAATTAAATGATGGATTATCTGTTTAAGTATTTATAAGCCTGAGTAGGATGTATTGTATGATTTTTGTCACATAAATTACTATGTGAGAGAATGACTGCATGCCATCAAACACTAAAACCACCTTTTTTAAATCGTTAACATGATTTCCATCTAGTCTAACTATATTTCTAAGTGTGTGCAGTGTGTTTGAACAAAAGCAGTTTTCTGGGACAACTTGAAGAGTTTCTAGTAATGAATACAAGCCCAGACTTGCTAATTGACTTTTTATTTTATTTTTTCCAACAAACTGACTGAATGTGCCAGGAGCAATAGATTCAAGGTTCCCCCATCGCCACGCCATCCCTCAGGCAGCTTAATTTCTGCAAGGAAGACTGATTGACATATCAAATAAGCACAATTTAAAAAGCAGTTTACAAATAGGAATGGTTATGGACTGGATGTTTGTGTGTCCTCCCCGGCCCCCTACTCTTATGTTGAAACCATAACCTCCGATGGCATGGTATCAGCTGGAAAAGTCTTTAATAGGAAATTAGGTTTAGGTGAGGTTATGAGGGTAGAGCCCATGATGGGATTACTGTCCTTGTAAGAAGAGAAAGAGACTAGAGCTCGAGCTATCTCTGTACCATGTAAGGACACGGCAAGAAGGTGGCCATTAGCAAACCAGGAAGAGAGCCCTCACTAGAATCTAACCATGCCAGCACCAGATCTCTGACTTCCCAGCCTCCAAAGCTGTGAGAAATACGTTTCTGTTTAATCTACTCAGTCTATGGTATTTTTTGTTATAGCGGCCACAACTGAGACAACAATGAACTGTTCCCCCTACGTGTGGGCATAGGTCTACTGCTCTAGAGTCAGTATCACCCAACACAGAAGATTCAAGACCAAGTGCTCCATCAGAATCTTCCAGCAACTCTCCTACAGGAACCAGGTGCTATCTGCTCTTAAATTCTCATCTCTCTCTCTTTCTCTCTCAATGGTAAACCATCTCTAATGCTGATTAAATGGAAAAAATCCTACTTAACCATTGGAGACTCTGGGTGAGAGATGCTACTGAAATAATCACAGATATACTCACAGGTGGAACTTCTACTATAAGGTCTAAGACTTAAATTTGAAGCCAACTCATCCACAGGGAGGGTAAAACACATGACTTTATAACATTAGCAAACATTAGCACATTCAGGCACACATTTGGGATGATTAGTAATGTTGAGTATTTTTTTAATGTACCTGTTGACTATTTCCGTATATAATACAAGCCTAATATGCTAAATGTCTGGTCATCTGGTCATCCATTCAACCTGATCTGATTGTAAGAATGGTATTAATTAATTAAAGCATAATATGATAATGATATGCTAAGGTTGCTCAACTGCTCACTATGATGTGTACTGACCACTGGGGGCAGATGCTCTGACTGGTAGGTTAGCTTACTGCTGGAATCTGGCCAATTGGGATTGAACGAGACAGGCTGGACATGCCCTGATGTCCTCTCATGGTCCCTCCCCAGCTGACCAACCTTCTGCATCCCTCTCCGGCCCTAAGTGCACCGGTGGGGGTTCCTTTGGCCTGGCCTGCACCCTCTTGCAATCTAGGACCGCTCAGGGGATGTCAGAGAGCCAATTTAGGCCCAATCCCGAAGGCCAGGTTGAGGGACCCCACTGGTGCACAAATTCGTACACCAGGCCTCTAGTAAGATTATAAATTCGAAGGATCTAATGTACATTATATAATAAAATACTAATGTGCAAATAGACCGAACAGTGGAACAGCCAAACAACCAGTTACTATAACATGTGCTGACCACCAGGGGAGCATGTGCAGAACATGGTGGGAGTAAGCAGCAGGTGGCAGAGTGTGGAACATGGCAGGTGTTGGCTGTGGCAGGATGGTGGAGCAGGTAAGTGGGGACACCAAACCAAGGTAGGGCACTGGTTGCTGTCATCGGGGCGAGGCTCTGGTGGTTACTGAAAATTCTTTACTCCCACACACCACTGTCCCGCCTGGCACCCGGTGCCACCCCATCATCAGTGGGTGAGAGTGGGGCCCACATTGTCAGTGCATTGAGGGGGGAACAAGGCTGAAGGCACACATGGGACTGGGGCCATGGCAGGAGGGGCTGGGTGGGGGTGTGGAGGATTGGCTGAGACCTGCCCCTGTGCCCAACACAGCCTCATGGCCCACAGTTTCTTTTACGGTGCACGAAAACATGCACTGAGCCCCTAGTAGTTAATAATACTGTGTATATACCTGAAACTTACTAGGCGAGTAGATCTTAAGCATTCTCACAAAAAAAGTATGTGGCCGAGACCGGTTTGGCTCAGTGGATGGAGCATCGGTTTGGGGACTGAGGGGACCCGGGTTTGGTTCTGGTCAGGGGCATGTGCCTTGGTTGCGGGCATATCCCCAGTGGGGGGTGTGCAAGAGGCAGCTGATCGATGACTCTCTCTCATCGATGTTTCTAGCTCTATATCTCCCTTCCTCTCTGTACAAAATCAATAAAATATATTTTTTAAAAAAGTATGTGAAGTGATGGATGTGTGTGAATAGCTTGATTATAGTCATCATTTCATAATGTATAGGTATATCAAATGATCACATTGTACACCTTAAATATGTACAATTTTTCTTTGTAAGTTATGCTCCAATAAAGTCAGAAACAAAAGAAAAATTATATATTTTTAAAGCATTAAGCAGAAAAAATTATTTACATATATACACATACTCAGGAAAAAAAATGAAGTTCTGATACATGCTATAAGAGATGAGCCATGATATCTTGAAAGCATCATGCTAAATAAAAGAAGCTAGTCACAGAAGACCAGGTATTATATGATTTCATTTATATAAAATAGGCAATTCCATAGAGACGGAAAGTAGAACACTGGTTGCTGGGGGTTGGCGGGGAGAAGGGAGGGTGGGAATGATTGGGGACTGTTAACGGGTTTCATTTTGGGGTGATAAAAATGTTCTAGAATTAGATCATGATGGTGAGTGCACAACTCTGTGAAGCACTAAAAACCACTGAGTTGTATACTTTAAAAGGGTAAATTTTATGGTACATTATTATTTTAATAAAGCTGTTAAAAGAATGAAAAATAAAGGTGTTTATATATATAAACTAATTTCATCTTCACAATAACCCTATAAGATACATGCTGTTAGTATCCCCATCTTCCAGGTGAGGAAACTGAGGCACAGAGAAGTGGGTAACATGACCAGTGTCCAAAAGTTATAGAGCAATCTGGTTGGTTTTTAGTTTTGTCTTCAAAAGACTTAACAGATTAAATGTGCCTGGTTTAAACATTTTAAACAGAGAACATATATCTTTAGTCAATAGATAAAAGAATAATGTGTAAATTTAGAATCTTCCAATTCCATATTTTAGCTACTTAAAAATGGGAGGGGAGAGACAGGCAAGAGAGGGAAGGCGATGTGAGGAGATGCACGGATGGGAGAGAGAGATAAACAGAAGAGAACAGAAAAATGGACTGGAACTCTAAGTAGGTTCTGAGGCAACAGGATTTGCCTCAGGGGGACTTCTTAGGAACCTGCCCATTGTCATGGCCTTTTGCACTTCTGTTTTGGGGTCTTGCATTCCTCCCTTTAATAGGATAGC